ACGAGGTTTTTTCTTCATCCTCAAGAGCCATTGGGACCTGGTGGTAGCCTGAGTATGCATCCAAGAGACTTAATCTCTCATTCCCCGAAGCTGCCTCAACCAGCTTATCAATGTTTGGCATTGGATAACAATCCTTTGGACATGCATCGTTGATGTTAGTGTAATCAATGCACATCCGCCATTTACCGTTTGCTTTTTTCACCAACACCGGATTGGCAACCCACTCGCAGTAATCGACCCTTCTGACAAAACCAGCTTGTAGGAGTTTCTCAACTTCTTCTTTAATGACCTGTAACCTCTCCCCCCCGAAGAGGCGTCGCTTCTGGGCTACTGGTTTCTTGAGGGGATTGGTGCTGAGTTTATGTTGAAAAACTGAAGTAGGAATTCCCGGCATGTCTGCTGAAGTCCATGCAAAAACATCTTTATTGGCCTGAAGAAAAGCTATTAGCTCTGCTCTTTCCTCCGGGTTCAATTTAGTCCCAATTTGCGTTTTCCGGCTCGGATCTCTGTCATCAATTTGCACCTCTTCTACATCTTCGACTGGAGCAGCTCTGGTTTCATCTTCTGGTCGGTTATCTATTATCTCAACACCCATAACTTGCCGATCATCAGGAATCCGTTTGGGATCAACCTCGGGTGTCTGAGTCTTGCCCTTCTGAGGTTGTGTCACTGAGGTGATATAGCAATGCCGGGCCACCTCTTGGTTGCCTCGCAGCGTTGCTATTCCCGTAGGAGTTGGGAACTTCATGCATAGATGAGATTGGAAAACCACAACTCGGATTTCAGTCAGTGTGGGTCGACCAATGACGACATTGAATGAGGACGCCATCTTGACTACCAAAAACCTGACTGAAGGGGTCACATAACTTCGGCCACTGCCAAATGCAACATTCATAGTGAGGACTCCTTCAACTGGAACTGGTTGGTTGTTAAACCCGTAAATGGGACCATCATATCGCTACAACAGAGCGGGATCTAACCCAAGACTCTCAAAACAATGGAAGTACATGATGTCTGGTGCACTCCCTGTGTCAACAAGGACACGTTGCACTTCACAATTGTTGATCGTGACAGAAGTAACTAGAGGATCATTATGAGGTGTGACAACTGTTTCGAGATCAGCAGATGTGAAAGTGATGGGTTGATTCTTCCACTCAGCATCGTCAAATTTTCGCTTCTGAACTCGGTTCTGATGCTTAACCTCTCTGACATACAGCTTTCGCTGCTTAAAGCTCAGTCCACCGGCTTCCAGACCTCCCGTAATCATGTGTATTACTCTAGCTGGTGGTGGGAGTGGGGGTGGGGCTTGCTGATATGCCACACCTTGTCTGTTTGGGGGATTGCGGACTGCTTGATGCTGTGACCCTTGTTCTCTGACAAACCTTGGCTGTTCCACTCTCTGGATGTACTCATTCAACATTCCTTTCTGTGCCAGACTTTCCAGTTTGGACCTCAGACTATTACATTGCTCTGTTGTATGACCGTGATCCTGATGAAAATCACAGTACCTAGTATGGTCTCTGGTAGCAGCAGCAGTTCTCATTGGACCCGGACGTCTTAAGTCCATCTTATTCTTAAT